AAAAGCATTTGATGTAATAAAATTGACCCTTTGAAGTGAAATATCCAATTCTCTGGCTCAAGTAAAATTATCTTTCTACAAACAATACAACACAATTAATTTAAGCAATTTCAATTTACCTCTGCAATTTTAACTTAATAGATTAACCAAATTCAACAGGACCGCTTCGTGAACAGCTTCAAAGTTTACGTAGTTAACGCTGAAAACAGATTCCCGACTTAATTCGATTTAGTAATAGGTCAGTTTGTAGGTTAACCTGGGGTCATTTCACGAACCGCAAATAGGGCATCGGTTCACCCCATACGGTGCGGTGAAATCTCGTCGCGACGCACATTCGTCTCGCCGGCGCCACTTTTATGGAAACAAACAGCTCAGTACTCGAAGTGACTTTTCCCCCAAACTATTTTTCATTGCCATAGTACTTTTATACTACAATAAAATTACTAGCAATTATCTAATTATACGAAAAATATTAATTACCTATTTCTAAATCTCCTTCGTGCTTCAGGATGTCGTTGATACTAAATTTATAATTCAGAAAGAATGTAACGTATTTTCTCCGGATAAAGTGTTGCTTGTACCTCTCTCTCGGGTCGATCTGTAGATCCATTGGTACATTGAAATGTGAATTAGCGAACACACTGTCGTGTTCATTTTAACAAATACAACCAGCGACGCCCGGGTTATGTCATTTGCTATAATAATAAAAGAGTTTTGGGTTAATCTAGGTTATAAAATATATTATAATAATATATTTGTACGAAATTTCATCTTAATGCATACAGCCATATTTGCGTGATTGACTAACAGACATCCTAAGAAGAAATTAGTATTTAATTTAGAGATTGTCAAAATTTGATTAGTGTCTTGTGCTTATTAATTTTTTTATGTAATGAATGCTGATATTCTCATAAAAATTAATATAATTCTTTGTTGAAATTGAATAGGTAAAAATCATTAACCAACAATTTTTTTGTTTTTACAAAGCTATAAATTCTAAGTAACACCAAGTGCTTAGTGGTTCAGCCAGAATCAGAGTAAACAACATGACGGCTGACAGTGGATTGCCTGTGCCCCTCGTATCGCTGACGAACGATAGTGACCACTTAAAACCAGGTAGGCCGTAAAATCAACTATTTACGACGGCAATACCAAATTCCGCATCAATGACACATGAAATTAGTAATTGTACTCATAAAACAAAACGCCGAATCATAGATATTCGTTTGTCAGAGCTTATTGAGAAGTCTACGTCTATATTTATAAAACCAATTTATTTGAATGTGAATAGCAAAATTCTTGGAATCTCGAACCCGCCGGCTATAGCCTACTTATAAACACTCCACACTGACCCTGCGTAAATGAAAAAAATATATCGGGACAAGACAAATTCGCTTAGTATTCATTGGACGACATTAATGGCTTTTGAACCCTTCGTAACGTAAATAAAATATAGAATTGACCTAAGCCTAGCGTCTCTAAGATTACTACCTAAATATTGTCAGTTGTTTTGGATTTATTTCATTGATGAAGATGTCGAACATTTCTGGAAATTCAAGAGGCTTGTAAGAAAATCCCTTTCATTGTAAAAATAAAAACAAAAGGAACCGTTGAGCCTTCATTGAAATTCTGAGGAGTTCTTAATATTACTTTTCTTTATTATTTTTCCGGGGATATTAACGAAATTTAACAAAGCAACCACAAAAATTGGTGACCTTATTTTTTTTGCTGGAAGCATCGCTTTTTCCAAATTAACAATTCGTTGACAGGTTACAAATGAATCAATTTCGTTCGACAAACCTTAAGCAAGTACTTTCATTTAAATTCTTTGTTTAAGATTTCACTTTGCTTTGCCATAATAAATGTAGTCTACAATAAAATTAAGTGCTATGAAAGAAGATCATCAGAAGTATCCTACTTTTTTTTATTTAAAAACAGTTCATTGTCCATATAATTCATTGACGCGAAAAAAAAAAAACGAAATGTATGTTTCTTTTATTGTTGAATGAGCTTTTTTTAACGCTGGGGAATCCGTTTACAATACATTTACGATCCACTTGGTGTTAAGTGGTTACTGGAGCCTATAGATATCACAGCCTAAATGCCCCTACCAAACTTTAGAGTTGAGGTCTACGTAAGTTCTATGAGGTAAGTTGGCGTATTATCGGTTTTTGAAGTATTAAAAAGTCTTAGGAAATATTTGAAAATGGTCACAGTCAGCATCGAACACTCAATAAATATATACAATTCCAAATGTTTATTTCGAATACGTTTATACGCAGCTGTAGACCAGACACTTTATTTCAGGCAAGAATAAAAAAAATATATACTGTTGGTGAATTGATGTTTTTTTTAAGTGTACCTTTTATTCTTCCGAAAAAAAAAAAAATTTTCTAAAATTAATCAAAAGATAACAATTACACTTAAACATAATACACAATTCTTATTGTTCTAGATATTGTAAAAAAAATGTTTATTTAAATTTATATACACGATAACTTATATGCCGGCTCGTTATATTATAATAATATAATGTCTCATTTGACTGTCTTATATAACAACAGTCTCACCCTTTTAACCCGAAAGCATCACTACCGCCGCAGAAGTACATAATATGTAGGATGGTAGAACATGGGCATGTGGCGTTAGAATACCTCTTACTACTGGTAAATCGGTTACCAATCGCAGCACGTTGATAGAATATTCAGAGAGATAGAGATAAGGTCAAGACATCACACAGTCAATATGTAATACAATTTGAAATTTTCAGGCTCCCTGCATTTTGTTTCGTTAATGAGAGCTCCGGGAACAATATTTTCTTCTTTCACCTCGAGAATAATTTGAAATAACTTAAAGTGAATCGCAGTCATTATATTTATGTAATAGGTCCGTAGAGTCGCGTAGGTTCTTTGTAAAAGCGACATGAAAGGATGTTTTTCTGTACAAAAATAACATAAATTTCAGAAAAATTTTAAAATGAGATAAACATATTTGTTATCGAAGTTATTTGTATGACAGTAGACGAGTGTAGGAGCTCACGGCCCACTTGATGTTATGTGTTCACCGGAGCCTGTTGAGAACGTGACGTGAATGGGAACCTACCTAGATTGAATGTCTTGCGGAATAATAGTCTTAAAATATTGCAAGCAATGATTTTGTTAAAATCAGGACGGGGTAATCAATTCTTTAAATAAAATGCATATTTATAAGTTTTAATTTTAAAATATAATAAAATTAGTTACAAAATATAGTGAATAAAAAAAATGACGATTTAAATTCTAAATTAAGCTTACTTTTTTATTTACATACATACGTAGTTTTCAAACTGCACTATGAGTACATTCACACTGAGTTATAGGATAGGTCGAACTCATCCACTAAATTAAATGTACCGGCATTCGATAGCCCGGCAATTAAAATCCCTTCCACTGTATACATTTAAACAAATAATTGGAAAACGAACATAAATTAATTCAAACAATAAATTTTAGTTAAGACAATTAAAACTAATGTTATGTAGCATATTTGAGTAGTCACGGAATAATAACAAGCCTGAAGTAGTGTACACATTTTAGTTTCGTATCAAGAACGCTGTTCCACAAACGGTGCCCGTTCTGAAATCTCTCTTAAATGTTTCATGCGTGAATCACTGTTTGAACAAAGGCTTCCCAGTTTTACCTTCGTAGACGACAATGTAAGGGCCACGGAGGCCCGGTTTCACATATACTATGTAAACAACGGCGGTACCCGCGGGAATCCATTGTTGTGCCACATCAACGCTGCGAACGTGATTTCTATTAACGTTTCCGAGTTTTCTTTGTGTTTGAAGTGTTTCACTTTCGTGTCAATACGCGTGATCTGAATCTGTTATTGTTTATCGCCTATCAGAAATCGAATAATATTTTTTTTTGCGACTTAAATACAGATAAGTTTGTTTATGGACTATTTTTATTGTTACCTTCATAAAATGCTAACCACAAGCAGAGCCGATCAACAAAAACGAATATAGAAACTACTCACGAGTTCTGTTTTCATGGCATAAAAAAACACACTTTAAACAATAAGACTAATGGCGTTAATATTATGCGTGTGATTATAAGTTGTATACTATATTTTACAAGAAAAGCAATCAATATGTAGAAATTGGAACCACTAAACTCCCTTGAAACTTTTAAATCACTGATTACTCAGAATTTTTTTTTATTTAGGTATATATTTAATTAAATTTCCATGTGCTTTAAAGTATGCTTGAATAAATCACACGACACCAATATACTACCGCACATCTACAAATATTATGTAAGGTGATTGAAATAAGTCACAAAATTTAGTGGGACTTGATTTATCTCAACCGTTTATTGTTTTTGGGGTAATAATACTTCATATTGTAAATTGTAATTTGTCTAACTTACTTTTTCTTTCTTTTTAAATGCGTTAATTTTTTATTTATTTTTCTATTGCATCGTTGTTTCTGCGTAGTGAGGAGAGCTTTTTTTTTATTGCTTAGATGGATGGAGGAGCTCACAGCCTACCTGATGTGAAGTGATTACCGGAGCCCATAGACATCTACAACGTAAATGCCGCCACCCACCTTAAGATATGAGTTCTACGGTCTCAATATAGTTACAACGGCTGCCCCACACTTCAAACCGAAACGCGTTACTGCTTCACGTCAGAAGTAGGCAGGGTAGTGATACCTACTCGCGTGGACTCACAAAGAGGTCTTACCACCAGTAATTACGCAAATTATAATTTTGCAGGCTTGATTTTTATTACACGATACTATTCCTTCACCGTGGAAGTCAATCGTCAACATTTGTCGAGTACGTATTTCATTAGAAAAATTGGTACCTGCCTGGGATTCGAAGACCGGTGCATCGCTCAACACGAATGCACCGGACGTCTTATCCCTTAGGCCACGACGATTTCAAGGTGGTGGTACCTACCCGTGCGGACTCACAAGAGGTCCTACCATCAGTAAGGTGCATGTTTTGTTACAGTTCTTGGCGCTGTTGGAGCGGAACGTAGTAGCCAATACCAGTCTTCACTACAGACAGATGACCCTGTTCGCGCCAACAAACGAAGCTTTCCAAAGATACATGGGCGAAATGGACGATAACCTCGTCCTGTACCATATATGTAAGTAAAGCAAGTCCGGAAAAAAAATTGAACGTATTTTTATGTCAAAGCAATTTTTTTTTTTTTTTTTTTTTATTGCCCTTGTAGGCAGACGGGCATACGGCCCACCTGATGGTGAGTGGTTACCGTCGCCCATGGACTTCAGCAATGCCAGGGGCAGAGCCAAGCCGCTGCCTACCGCTTAATACTCAATACTTAATACTTAATACAATAAAGCTTCAGCAAAAGTAATACGAGGCTCCTCTATTTTCACTTCAAACGAGTTGAATCCTAAGCTGCAGTTGCTTTTTTTTTTAAAGCTTAGAAGGGTGGACGAGCTCACAGCCCACCTGGTGTTAAGTGGTTACTGGAGCCCATAGACATCTACAGCGTAAATGCGCCACCCATCTTGAGATATAAATTCTAAGGTCTCAGTATAGTTACAACCGCTGCCCCACCCTTCAAACCGAAACGCATTACTGCTTCACGGCAGAAATAGGCGGGGTGGTGGTACCTATCCGTCCGGACTAACAAGAGGTCATACCACCAGTAAAACTAACTCAGAATAAAATGTACATATCTATATATTAATACGTGAAGCAAAAACTTTGTACTCCTTTTTACAAAAATTGCGCGGACGGAGGAGTATGAAATTTCTCACACTTATAGAGAATATAGAGAAGGAGGGCGGAATGTTAATGTTTTTTTAAATCTTGCATAAAAATAAATTAAATCGATAAAAAAAATCATTACACACACTGCATGTATTTGACACACACACACACACGCAGGCATACTATTTGTTTATTGTCAAACCTTTCTTATTGCTTATAATCTGTGGTCAAATTGAGAATAGATTGAAAATTGTCTTTATTAATACCTATTTGTCTTTAATGTAGTCTTGGTGAAATATGTGATTATAGAAGTAGTAGAATCATAATAGTGTAAAAACCTATAATTTCAATTAATGATAGTCGAATTTCGACTACGAGGAGACTACTAGTACAATTATAATCACTCGCGTACTACGAGTATATGTAATTCGCCAAATTATTATGCCAAAGTCCTTTCTTTAAGTCCTTTCCTTCTGTACAAAGCAAATTATAGAGGGATTTAGCGGCTAAAATAATATCGAACTCCATGTTTAATCGTTATATTTTTCTCTATGGTCACAAAAAAAAACAATTACATTTTTATCTTGTTTATTGTGTCGTTAAAGTTAGGTTATGAAAACATTATTATCAAAAGACTATTACGTCCAAATAAGAATGCGAGCCTTTCAACTTTTGCTGCTTTTGTATCCGAACTAAGTTAAGAAACTTAGGCGTGACACATGGAACCTCGGGTCTAAGATGGAAGCAAACTTTTCGTACCAACCCCAGTCAAGTTGGGAGTGTCTTTGTTAATTTTGGTATAGTTCGAGTTACGATTTGTACGTACAAATTCATCTCATAAAACCCTTAAAGTTTTACAATTAAATTTATTTTATAATCGTTTATCTGTTTTCTAGCCATAACAGGAATTATAAATATAAAATAAAAAAGTAATAACGTATAACGGTTTTCAAAAACTATTAAAGTACAAGGCGATTAGAAATAGTGCGAATCGTCCAACCATCGAATACTATCACAACCTAAAACTTAAGATTTTTTTTTTTTTTAAATCTATTGCATAGATTTTATCGCGGGCGTTGAGCGCGGCTTCAGAGCGGAATCATGAAATTCCGTAACGAAAAAAACCTTACACCCCTCACTCCGCCTACCATGTAGCTCGCGTTCAACACATTCACACGTTGCGCTTGTGTAGTGTTTGTGAATAAGATCGTGGCGTGACGTCACACTGCATACGCATCATGAAAAGTCTGCCCATCTCTCTCTCGCGCGGTCTAGCTTATGAGTGTGAAGGGAACAGTTAAGGTTTTGCGTTTATTAATGTTTAATATAGCGTGGTCTTGTTTTATTATTGTTTTAATATTAAATTATCATTGTCTAATTATAATTGCATAAGTTGATAAAAAATGCTATGCAATAATAGCTTTACCGCGGCAGTTCCCGAGTGCCACATGTTTTTTTAGTTTCATTTTCTCTTTAGTTTTACTATTAAGATTAAAGAAGACGATAACCATTTTTATCGATAACACTGAAGCGCGTCAATAGCGGTTAAGCAAAACAATAAATAGTAACGCTTGATAAACAAGAAACTGGTACATAAATATTTCGGTTTTGCCAATTATTTATAGGTTATTGTTAATATTTGTTGTTTTAAAAGTGCGAAAACTATATTTTTCTTGCAGCAAACCTGGCAACCACGCTGACAAACTTGGATTATGCTATTTCTTCGGAATTAGATGGTAATCCTCCATTATGGGTGACTAGGCGTCACGATGCCATGCACGACGACATCTATGTGAACAACGCTAAAGTGTTTATTTCAAGATCATATCAATCGGTTAACCGAAACAATAAAAGACAAGTAAGCTGATTTCTTACTAATAATTGTATCTTTCAAATTTCGAATATCCACAAAATATAATTTAACGTGCGGTTAGTTACATTTCAGTCATTACATATTTTGTAGGTACTCCATGTGATAGATCAAGTTCTGCAGCCACTTCAGCCTCATGGTCCTGGCTCCGTCAGCTCTCCAGTCTATAGCCCTAATGCATATCAGTTTTTAGAACACTCTGATGTCTTCAATATTGGACAGCATCGCCTAAGGTAAGTAATAATAAAATAAGAAATATGCATTTATTTACAAGTTGAATAGGCATATAATGTAAAATTTAAAGTTAGGGCTACCAAGATAAAGTTTTTATTTACTTTTTTTCGAACAAAAAAGGTAGAAATAAGGAGGAAATAACAAAAACTTAAAAAGAAAAACTTTTAAGATCATCACAAAATTCAATCACTTGGAAACAATATGGCCAAAAAGCGAACGAGTTTCCTGAAGGCACAAGACATTACCCCAGCGATTTTATTTTCCGCATCAACTTGCCAGGAATTTTTTCTATCATGAAATTTTCGAAACGATACGAAAATCCTTAAAATTTATATTTCCATGTTTTTCAACTTTTCAACTATTATTACACTTTACATAATTTTTTTACTAGAGATTACACAGTGGCTTATGGTGAACATTTATCCATTAGTCTGATAACCACAACCATTCTGTTCCTACGCCAATACATTCACGTTAATAATCTTGATTGTGCAAACTATGTTTATATACATACATTACATATGATTTTACTGGCTTAATTGTGTATCTATTAAAGATAAATAATACGGCATTTGTTTATCCTAGTCTATTCGCTCTGTAACCATTAATTATTATCGTATGTATTATCTTGATTGGCTACTTGGCTACGAGCCTATCTTTGTCAATAAATTCAAAGGGAAACAGTTGCGTTGGCATACTTAGAAACTCACTTACATAAATAAATAGACGTGAATATCAAGGATAGCGCTTGGTTTTTATTGCTCTAGATGAACAGAAGAAATCATAGATTCAGTACTTACCTCGCACTAAAGGTCGACTACTTCGCGGCAGAAATAAGCATTTTGATGGTACCTACCCGTATGGCCTCACAATAAGCTATACCTGCCATTAGTTCAATAAAAACGTGATTCCGAATTTTACGCTAATCTTAAGCAGTTTTTGATTAGTCACCATTGGAATGTTCACATTCTCTCATTAAAGTAAAGTACTATAGGACACTAGGGCGACCCGGTTCGATCTGCTGTTACTATTGGTATTTATTACAAAAACGATTTTTGGAAACTACTCCGGCGCTACCTAAAGTTTGTTAATTATACTATACTATGACTTATATTCTATTCTGATTTATAAACAATCACATGAACGTGAATTTTCATCAATATTTAACAATTTTTGCGTGAAAAAAAGTACTCCCATTAAAGGTATATGTATGTACAGCTGTCCAAACGCAACTTCGTCCTACACTACGTGGACTACACTTTCTCGATTTCAAAGCAAATCATTTGTTCCAAAATTGTAAAAAGACGGTGGAGAGTTACCGTATCAAAGTTTAGAAGAGAGGGATATAAGGGGCGCTTATAGGATTTGTTTGGGATGATGTCATCATTTCCTTTTCACTTCTCAACAACTATAACCTGAGCAGTGTACACCCCTACTCCTTGCAACCAATACTTTAATCATGTTGCGTTTACGTATTGATAATAATTATAATAACAAATGCATTTTTTGTTTAATTATTTTTTTACTTCTTATAATCTATAGATATACATTTTTTATTATTTCATTGGAAATTTCAAATTTCCTGATAATGTTCGAAAAAGTTTTTTGACAATCTTTATTTTTTTTTATTTATTGTTTACAATCTCTATTCGTCCATATTGGAAAAGTATTCTAATCAAACGCCTATTCTGTACAATTAGCATGTACAAAGAATGTTTTGTAGGAGGCCTATGAGCTGCAAAACAAAATCGCAATTCGGTTTCAAGTATATTTGGAACTTCCAATTAATGAATACAGCATCGCGTGTTTCAATTAAAACGAACTCGAGTTAAACTTACTTAGAAATTCATCACGCAATGTTTATCATTTAGCTCATAGGACAACTACTAGTATATTATAAAATCAATTTAATATCTAATAAAGAAAAGTCGTCGTGGCCTAAGCGATAAGACGTCCGGTGTATTCGTGTTGAGCGATGCACCGATGTTCGAATCTCAGGCGGGTACCAATTTTTCTAATGAAATACGTACTCAACAAATGTTCACGATTGACTTCCACGGTGAAGGAATAACATCGTGTAATAAAAATCAAACCTGCAAAATTATTATTTGCGTAATTGCCGGTGGTAGGACCTCTTGTGAGTCCGCGCGGGTAGGTACCACCACCCTGCCTATTTCTGCCGTGAAGCAGCAATGCGTTTCGGTTTGAAGGGTGGGGCAGCCGTTGTAACTATACTGAGACCCTTAGAACTTATATCTCAAGGTGGGTGGCGCATTTACGTTGTAGATGTCTATGGGCTCCAGTAACCAATTAACACCAGGTGGGCTGTGAGCTCATCCACACATCATAGCAATTAAAAAAAAAAAAAAAAACAATGTTCTACTATTGCATCCCGGGACACACTTTACTGACATTATTGCTAAAGGTGTAATTTATTAGAGGCCTTATTTTTTTATACTACTCGAGCGCTACCTGTGGTCCGTTAATTGTGAATCTGTACAAGAAAACTATTACAAAGTATCACTGCATAAAGATCTATTACAATGAAAATACAATACAATTCTATAAAACGTTAACATTACTTATTTATTACAAACGCCACGTCTTAGTTTTGATGGTTATAGCAACTACAACTTCTTTCATACAAACAAATGGAATTACTATGAAACAATTCATAAAATATGACTTAATATTCACAATAAATATTTAATTGATTTTTACATGACTCTGACATGAATTTATTTCACATAAATTACTTTTAATATAAACTAACATTATTATTCCAGCCTAATAATAGATAACGCCAACAACATGATTTGCATATCAATTACAATTCTTAATAAATTTATTACTGTTAATAATTATAACATAATTTACTATTAATATTTATGCTTTATTAATATTTGATTATTTTTACAATAATTTGTGTTTTTAAACAATAATATAAAAATAAACATTTTCACTTCAAAACAGTGTCTACTAAATATTAGATATAGTAGAATAACAGTTTCATCTTGCTAATTATAAATAAATAATAATATAGAATAAACTAAACTATATATCATGCTAATTATTGCCAATAGTGGCATTTGCACCCATATATACCTACTAGTATGAGATTTGTTCATCCATTTCTGCAATTCAAAATACAAACAACTAGGAAAACGGTTATGAATAGTAAAAAGAAATAACTTTAAATCGTTTGTGTTCTTCTCCTGCAGAATATATTTCGAAATAAAAACGCTTTAAACATTTATTTTTTAGGTCTTTCCGTCAAAAAGTGAACCAGCTACAGAAAAGCAAAGTATTTAACGCGGAGGGCCGGCATACATTCTTCATTCCAGTTGACGAAGGATTCGAGGTTCGAAAGCAACTTATTAATGTTTCATCTAAAAGTTTCACCATAAAATTCTTAACACGGAAACAACTAATACACTAGGGAAATTCAAATTTTCCTCCAAGAATGTGTGAGTGACGAGTGATAGCAGTGCTGATGTGTTGAAGTCTGTAGCAAAATAATAATAATACATACAATTTTTTTTTTCATATTTTTTGCACAGCATAACATAATTAAAAGGGAATGGAAGGGAAAATAAATTAAATGACCCGCGGAGCCAGCTGTCTCGTGAAATGGGACGGAGTCCGTCAGCTGTCTTCAGTTTCGATTGTTCTTTCACGGAATACTCGTATAAACTTACTTAATCAACACGTATGCTTTGCACATCAATGTAACTATACTGAGGTTTGAAGGGTGGGGTAGCCGTTGTAACTATACTGAGACCTTAGAACTCATCTCAAGGTGGGTGGCGGCATTTACGTTATAGATGTTTATAGGCTCCGGTAACCACTTAAAACCAGGTGAGCTATGAGCTCTTCCACCCATCAATGCAATAAAAATCGTATCGTGTTTTCCGTTTACGTCATAAGAAAAAGCATGAAGATATTATCGATATTGTAACCATTTCGATTTTGGTTCCCTTAAGTGCTTTTATATAAAAAAATAATTGTATTAGCATGTTCGCCCTAATTTTTTTTTTGTTTAATGTCTTAAGACAATTTTAAAATTTATTCCTCAGCCTGCAGCTAGGTCTGACCTGATAGATGAGAAAGTAATAGACGGTCACGTTATTCCGCACCATGTTCTGTTCACGCACGCAACCCCCGACGCCAAAGAGTTTGAAACCTTGGCATTTGGAGACAATGTTAAGGTCATTGTGTCGTTCAGTACAACCATGAACGGCAAAGAGGAAATCAGTAAGTTTATTGATATTTTCAATTTCTTTTAATAAGTCACGTACGATCTTCCTTCTCCAAATTAGGGTTCCTCACACTGTGGGGAACCAGAAACTGATATACCTGCATACTTATGTACTTTTATTTAAATATATACAAATATACATAGTACTCAAAACTCAGACAAGGAATTTATCAGTATATCAACTGCAATCCGCAAAATTATAATTTGCGTAATTACTGGTGGTAGGACCTCTTGTGAGTCCGCGCGGGTAGGTACCACCAGCCTGCCTATTTCTGCCGTGAAGCAGTAATGCGTTTCGGTTTGAAGGGTGGGGCAACCGCTGTAACTATACTTGAGACCTTAGAACTGATATCTCAAGGTGGGTGGCGTATTTACGTCGTAGATGTCTATGGGCTCCAGTAACCACTCAACACCAGGTGGGCTGTGAGCTCGTCCACCCGTCTAAGCAATAAAAAAAAAAAACTTCGTAGCTATGTATTTTATTGCATATATGTAGTTATAAGTTAATCCTTAAAAGCCATATCTTGGCATCGAATCTCACAGTTGGTTTCTTTTAAAATATGTGACAAAAGGTCTTTTTTTGGATAATGTAGCTTCTCGTAATTAATATTGCAATCTTCTGTTTAGCTTACGTTAAATCGAATACTGTGGCTGGCGACGCGAAGCATAGCCGCGGCGTTGTGTTAGCCGACATTGTCCGAGCGAATATTCCGGTGAAAAATGGTGTAGTGCATCTAATCCAAAGGCCGCTGATGGTCGTAGACACGACTATCATCAACTTCTTGAAGGTAATTATCATTGTTTAATATTGTATCCAACATTGTTGTATCCAACATTATTGTATCCAACATTGTTGTATCCAACATTATTGTATCCAAAGTGGCAACATGCGTCGACTAGTTAATATTGGATTCTGTTTGAGATAGTATAGTTTATGTGACACAGTGTTTATATGGCACAGTTTTCTCTATCGAAGATTCGGTATGAAGCAGATAGCATGGAACTTATTCAGAGAAAATTTCATCATGTCTTCAGCATAAATAACTCTTATTACTACTAAGTCTAAAGCTGCATTCAAACTATGCTATACTATATTGTCATATAGTATAGCTGCCTATGCCTAGCCAATAATATATAGTACAGTACAGTGTGACGTGTCCATAACAATGTATGGTGTGCGATATCGATGTGCTATGAGCTATATACTATATGCTATTATATTATAGTGTAGTCTGAAAGTGGCTTTATATAATATCTATGTAAATGGACCGTTACTGAATTAAAACCAACATAAAGGAAGGCCGCAAAATGTTCGTTTATGATTATTTTTTTAAATAACCGTAAACCTGATTTGAAAGTACCTTCCTTGATAAGTTTATTAGTCACGTAACCGTTTTCCAATATTAATAAATGTTTCGCTAAAATTCACTAAGATGTTTTCAACCGTGTCATTGATTTTCGCTTCATTTTTACGGGAACCAGGCAATGAAGGTAAAATGGAGCTGTTTATTTTTTCCATTTTATTATCCATCTTTGTGAGTGTCCTCTTTACTTCACGATCTCTATTTCAATTAATTTGCGTATTTTTTTTTAAATTACTAAGTCAATTAAGCACGTTTCTGAGTACATTTTCATTAAAACCTATGTTGAGAGTAACTTTGACAATGTATTTTAGCTTCATCGCAAACATATATTATTAAAACAAACATAGTTTGCAACATTCCCATTTTATATTATAAATTTATTTTAGGTTATGTGTTATTGTAATACTAGGTGTGAATTTTTAGAACCATTAAACAACATTAATCATCCTAATGGTATCTAATAATTTTTTATTGTCCATTTAACAAAATCTGCCCTTTCTCTTTCACGTTATGTATTGCTACTCGCCCGCCCTGATGTTGAATCCTGCATGTACTTGAAACCTTAGATATATAATAATATACATATTATGTTTATTTATTGGGAAATTAACAGTATATAACAAACATGTAATATATATATTTAAATAGCTAAATAAAAACAGATGGTTCCACCATCAACACCATAATGAATAAAAAGTCAACAAAAAAAAGAAATTAAAACATTAAAGTTTAAAAAAAAGCAACACAATACAAAAACACACACAAATACAACATTTATATATATCTGCATGTATATACACATACACGTATACATTCAGCTCTATTGTAGGTTGTGCATATATTTTAAAACTTAATAATACACGCCGGACCTAACTCAACTTAAAAATATTCCAAAATTGCATTTGTATATATGCTACAAGTGATAAACAAAAGATGTCAACATTGGAGATCTTAGCATCGTGGACCCTACACGGTCTACGGCAAATATGTCGGAAGCATATTTCGTTCGAGCCATAGACAGTTGGAAGGTCTGTTTAGAACGGGCGGAAACATATTAATGAAGGCTTGGAAAAAAGATAGCTGAAATCAAAAAAAAATTTTAATATCTAATTTAAAAACTTTTGATTCCTCAAAAAAGCATACGATGGCCAGGGAGATAAACGCTGTCGCTTCCAGACAGCTGAAGCGATGAGAGCGGTGTAGATGTTTCAAAACATTTTTTATTCTCTTTTCAGTCGCTCAATATAAATATTATATTAGGGGTTCCAAGCGACCGAACTATATTCCAAGATAGACCTTACAAAGCTATTGTACAAGAGATTTAGGGAATTTTACATTAATAATAATACTATAGTGTAATACTTATGCATGAATACTTAGTCGAAAAGTTCTATTGTGTCTGATTTACGGACAAATTTAATAAGCGCTTATAATCTTATCTTAAATTATATGTATCCTGTTACCGTTTTTTTCTATTTGAAAGAAGTAAATTAAAATATGATTTGCATAAATACCCGTGCAGGGTAAATACCACCATGCTATCTATTTCTGCTCTGAAGCAGTAAAGCGTTTCAGTTTCAAGGGTGGGGCAGCTGTTGTACTGTAGAAACTGAGACCATAGACTCATGTCTCAAGATGTGTTGCGGCATTTACGTTGTATATGTCCATGGGCTTCGCTAACCACTTAACACAAGGTGTGCCGTGAGTTCATCCAATCATCTAAGCAATAAAGAAAAAATAGATAAAAAACGTTTCTGTCCGCGAACATATCATCGCATACATCAATGCGATTATGATTTTTATTCTCATTGTAGTGAGTCACTGCAGTGCATATTTATATTATTTTAATGCTTATACGAGTCAACAAATTAACGGCCTCACTGATATTAAAGGTTACCGGAAAACATAGGCATCACAACCTGAATACCGCCACTTACTTTGAGACATAAGGTCATAAATCTTAGTTGTATAGTATAATGGCCGTACTGCCCTTCAAAAGGGAAGGCAATGTTGCTTCACGGCAGAAATAGGCAGGCTATCGGTAGCCATCCGTGCAGGTTCACAAGTGGTTCTACCAGAAATAAATCTGGATTTTTTTTTCAATTTGTTTTTAGGTTGTTTTTCTATATATTGAAAATATGTTTAACATAAAACAAGAAAAGTAGTTGCATGCACAAAAACTAACCTAACTCATTTACGAGTTTTCTCTCTCGATAAACGATTTACACGTATGTACGTATTCCCCTAATACTATTGCATATTTGTATTCAAATTTAACAGCAATACATTAATGTGTAATAATATAATTATCTAATCATTAACAAGACGTTTACAGGGCTAACTTGAATATAATAGGTGGAGTTGAAGAGAATATGTTTGTTGAATAATTTTATTAAACATTTCGTGATTAAATTGAACATAAATGATTTCTGACAGGAAAAAGAGGATGGTCCACTATGTAAATTCTACGAAGTGCTTATGGATTTGGGACCCAACAATCAATTTTACACCGAACTTACATTGGCTAAAGATATTACTCTGTTCGCTCCGTCAAACGAAGCATGGGCTGAACTCAGTGTTCAAAATATTATTAGGTAATTTCCTCTTACGTCATAAATCACATAAAGCTTAAGTAGGCTTGAAAATACAAATAAAAAAAACATTTTCCAGAAACCATCAGAAGCTAAAAGAAATATTAAATTTGCATCTAGTACGAGAGCGACTTCCTATGGACGCCATAATCCACAACAACATGAATCAGGTAAATTAACACATAAACATATTTACAATCTGTTGTTATTTAAAAATAACTTTGAGCGCCAATAGTGAATTATAAAACGCAATTTATATTAAAATTAATGCCCTGCACTGGAATTAATTCTCTGGTTTCGCCGCTGCTTATTGGAAACCAGCTCCCCGGAACTGTATGTTAAAACAATTTTATCTGTGGTGTATTTATCTTTGTTGATATATTTATGTGTTTCCTTTTTATTCCATTTGTTTATTTCAGTCGGTTATTTGCATGACTGCAATATGCCATCTGTAGGTTTTACATTTGTACTTGAATTGTAAAGTTATTGTTCTATTTTGATTAAATATGTTTATTTCCGTAATCTATGGTAGCATGTCAGTGATAGTGTAGTAGACAGAAGTTTTTTTAAACTAACAGCTAGTAAAACATTTTGATATTAATCTTAATCTAGATCTACCAAGCTCCAACGGCGCTTCCACGCAAATACCTATACTTCAATATTTTGACGCGTGGACAAAATCAAACGCTGACAGTGGAAGGTGGTGGTGTTAATGCGACAGTGATCCAACCAAATATCGCAGCAACCAACGGATTCGTACACATTATTGACCGAGTTCTCGGAGTACCTTATACTACTGTGTTTGAAAAACTAAAGGCCGACCCCATGCTGAAGTAAGCTCGGAAAAATTAAGGTAACAATGCGATATAATTAACGTGAATGGTCCACTAACATCGTATTTTACACCTTTTAGTATCACCTACAACCTCGGCAAGAGACAAATGTTCAATCATCAGTTAAACGATATGGAACACCGTTATACGTATTTCGTGCCGCGGGACCACGCTTGGTTGAAATTCCAAATTCGGCACCCTTCTGCGTACAAAGCCCTTTTCAGAGAAGACTTCGGCTATTTCGTGAGTACTGCTTACTAAACTTCCAAAGGACTCATTTATATATTGTAATTGTTATCAATATGAATATTACCTAATTTTTTCTACGTTAAATAAAAATATGTCCGATTTTAGGTAATAATAATGATTACATATTATACTATATTGCTCATTTTAAAGCAGACTATTAATATTATCTGAAGAAATGAAGTTATTTTTAAGAAAAGAAGGCTGCCATTTAATTACCTTGAATATTGGGTTGGTTTCTCTAGGATTATACTTAATATGGTTGTCTTATCCTTTAGACCAGAACATACTAATGCTTCGTGTTAGAATTAGACAGGATGGTGATAGTATGTTACGCATCCGTGCGGGTCCATAATCTTTAACAACCTATTTTAGGCTACTGTAAGACATATGTATGCCTCTCCGAAGACACGCCACGCGACCCGATCATGGTACCTTTTTACCCTTCCATAATAATAAACCCTTCAATTTGTAAATGTAATATAAAGGAGCTGTGTGAGCTAAGAGTAGCCAGATAGATTATTGTCATTGAATGACACTATAACGTCTTGTTATCAAGCGCTAAGCAGTTAAAATTACTTAATGTTTCATGTAATTAAACTTATTGTTCTTTGTTTTTTGTATGAATTGTATCACGATGTGTTTTTTTTTCAGACCAAGCAAATATTAGAACGTCATGTGATTAGGGCGGGGCGTGCTTACACTGTATCCGATTTAAAACTGCTCGCGAATGAAACGCATCCATTTGTTCTACCGACGTCCCGCGATCCGCTCAGGTTGCGTGTGAAGGAATCTGATAAAAGTAAGCTTTTGATTATTCTTTCGCATTATAAACTTTTATCTTTCATTTTAATGGTGTCTAATTTAGCTAGATAGGTAGCACTTTCACTTTTTTTTTATTTCTTTTTTACTATTGGTAGGACCTCTTGTGAGTCCGCACACGAGTACGTACCATCACCCTGTCTGTTTCTGCCGTAAACAGTAATGCGTTTCGGTTTGAAGGGTGGGGCAGTCGATGTAACCATACTGAGACCTTACAACTTATATCTCAAGGTGGGTGGCGCATTTACGTTGTAGATGTCTATGGGCTCCAGTAACCACTTAATACCAGGTGGGCTGTGAGCTCGTCCACCCACCTAAGCAATAAAATAAAATAAAACTTTTGCAGTTTTTTGTTTTGTATAATATATTCAAAACAGATTTGACGTGAAGCAGTGCACGGAAGATAAACAATAGCGAGGTTTTTATTACTTGTATTGGTCAGGTCAAAGCACACTGAATGAAAATAATAAAAACACGCACTAATATATAAAAAGTAATTGACAATATTATTGGCCGGTAGAAACGTCAGGTGATATGACGTAACATTATACATACTTAAGGTAATACTTTTTACTGGTGGTAGGGCCTGTTATGAGTCCGCGCTTGTAGGTACCACCACCCTGCCTATTTCTGCCGTGAAGCAGTAATGGGCTGTGAGCTCGTCCACCCATCTACGCAATAAAAAAATTAAATAAAAAGTTGTGGAACTGCGCTTAGTCGTGTGCGAGTACTTACCTACTCGCTACACTAATACGTAAAACAGATTGTTTTGAAATTATATTAATTATATTATGAGATGTTTCTTCCTCGACTTGTGTCGGCTTTGATAAATATCCCGTCCCGTTTCCCACAGGAAAAAAAAATATCTATACCCCAAAATTTTAATGAGATTTTATGTGAAAAAAAAAAAAGAATAGAAAATGACTAAATGATGGAAAGAACCCCAGCGTGTGTTACTGTAGTGCCTCTTCTTCCTCGTTATATATTATTTATCATATATTATAGTTATATATTATTGTTTTCTTTCAATTAGATTATTACGTCGAATGGAACGGCCACTGGATCCATGTCTTCAGACCAGATGTCGAATGCACTAATGGTATTATTCATGTCATCGACGAGCCATTCGTTTTGGAGAGCGACATCCGAGCCACAGGCGCATCTGAACGTTTAAATCTACCATTTCTCGTTCCCGTTTTGTCAGCTTCGTATTTTTTGACTAAGCTTTTCGAGAACTAAACGATTATTCTTTTCACAGTCAATTACGTTTCGCGATTGTTATTACTGATTTTTAATAAAATGAGTTTTTGTAATTTCATGCACTAACATAATTTTCGATAGCCGATTGTGTTTGCGTGAATCATCAGATAGACTTCGTTTAAATTTAAATCACAAAAGTGACTTGCATTTTAACTAATATAATATTGTGCTGTTTTTACGTAGTGATCCAAACAGATTGGATTAAAAGCACTGCCAAAGAATTTTGTGGCGAAACGGCTACAAAATTTTTAAACTTCATGTATTAAATCAAATAACTATAGAATACTTAAATTATATTCGAATTCTTATGCAAAAACAAAATAATACGTTTTATTAAATTTTTCATCTTTCGTGCCTTCTTTGAATTGAATAATAAAGATTCATATTTTAAAACCACAAACATATTTTAAACTATTTATTTAACTGTTAAAAAAACAAACTGTTCTCATCACATTCCAAGTTCGGGAATACTTTTATACTTAATCTTATATTAGTTAATAAAGTAAAATACGTTTGATGGCTTCAAGTACCATTTTAAAAACCTTAAATACTCCTATACCATAATCGTCAAATATAAGAGTTGTTTAATAAACAAAAGATTAGCGTCTCGAGCTTATGAAACAATTACAGCAATACAGCGTTAGCCGTGAACGGAGTCGTTCTAAGAAGGTTTTATGATTTTAATCGCTGCATGCTAATGTACCGCGTTTTCAATTTGGGTAGATATTATAAATTTACATATAAACACTATTATTAAATGTATTGTAAATAGGAGTGAATGTGCTTATTAGAGGTGCATTTGTGATTAATTATTTAAAAAAAAAAACAATAAGCCGATGTAAATAATTTTTGTAAGTTATATTTTATTATTTTTAATTTTATAACGTAGGATTTTATTTGAATGCGACTGAAGATATTATCGAACTTTTTGAGAAAAAAAAAAATAACATACAAATTTTCAAAACCTGATATGGATAATACCGAGTTTTCGTTGACTTTACAAAAGCATGGAAATTTAAGATAGGACATTAAATTTAGCAAATAGTACGAACCTATTTATTTTGGTCCCTTATTCGGACACTTACCAGACCGTCAGACGGTGGGCAGAGACGTTTTTATGATAACTGTAGATCACTCATGTCTCATAATATAAGGTCATTGGCATACCTGCCTACCTAGACAATAAACTTGAGTTCATAACTTAAAAAAAAAATAAGTGGACTATTTAACTACCTAATAAGTCAATCGGAATGCTGCCACTTTTTGCGACCAATTTATTAATTTTAAATGATAAAATAAATAATTATACGATCAATTTTAGTAATGTTAAACCATTAACCGTTTGCAGTATTTATTTATAATTAACTAATGAAAACTTAATTATGTAATTAATTACGAAAAAATAATTAACGAAAACTCTGGGTCAGCGGGAAGATGTTGGCCCTCTCTGTGCTTTGTACAGTATGTTCCATGGAGAGTGCTCACAGTAATTGTTTGATATGATTCTGTCATCTCCTTTTTACCATCAAACCGCCTGTCACCGAAGTAGGCCGGTAACCGTTCTCGCCGAACCCGTCACTTGCGACGAAGGGCTCGATGAGTAAATTACCCATAGACACAGCCCATTGAGTTGCTCGCCGGATCTTCTCAGTGGATAGCGTTTCCGATCCGGTGGTAGATTCTGCGAAGCATTGCTCTTGCTAGAGCCAACACTTCGGTTTGAGACCCGTGAGCTCACTTACAAGGAGAAGCTGAAATAGCATCTCAAGGCTATCAGCATAGGTAGGAAAAGAAAAAAATCCGCTTGGAACAACTGCACCCATCGAAAATGCGTTCTAAGACATAAATTTGACTACGGACTAATTAACTCTGGTATGAGCTCCCACGGTGCTCCCGAGTCCTATAACGTGTTCTTCTTTAACGAGGTTTGAAAAGAGTGGGCAATTTTGAATAATTTATTCCAAATTTTTATACTTATGGCAGCATTTCAAAATTAGTTTCATTCTACGCAATCACGTGTAACGACCCCAAACTATTGCAAAACTCAAAGAAGTTATGAATATTTTGTTGATTAAACTAACCCTGGCGATCGTAAATGATAATAAGTACCACGAAAACTCGGAATACCGTGTATTTTAGAATACTAACAGGTTAAATACAATTTACCTTTTTTGAAATTCTGAGAAATAACTTTACGAGTATTAAAATTATTTGCTTCATGGTTTATAAAAGTCGGAAACTGTTCAAACTTTAGCACAATTTGAATGAAACTTATCATGACGATATCAAATATAAGAACTTCTATTGTCTATTTCTGTAGTTGTGTGAAATTCGATAAGGTAATAAAAAATCAATTAACATTTATATTCTTTATAAAATGCGTTGCCAATATCAAAGCATGATCACATCAATTTGTAACGATTTTTGAAATTTGTATAGTTATAAGCTACTTTCAGTATATATGTATCTTATAGAACACGATAACCTTTGTCGACGGATTACCATTTAATTAGTTTAATTTAAGCCAAAGCTAAATGTTAAATCAATTGAAAAATGTAATGAATAGATGTTATGGGGAGACATTATTGGAAATTTATCATAGCAATATCTATAATTTATAGTGTTGTTAAACTATGTATAGTGAAGGGTTCAAATAATTAATTATATTTGAAAGCCCGAGACAATATGGATTCGACCATTTATTTAACAATGTTTGGCTATTTACTAGTTTCGAATTCAATTAAATAGTAAGTGTTTGATGTATTCAAAATACTATGTCAAATTAGTCTAAAAAGTTTATGGCGAAATGTTTAATGAAAATGAATTTACGTGTAAAATAAATGTAATAAACCTATGAATGTTGTTTTAATTTATTTTTAATTTAAAGGTTTTTGTTTTGTTTATAAATTACCAACATTTACTTATCACTGATTGTGAGTGCACCTCTGTGATGAGATTATAACAATAGAGTAATCTGTTTTGGAAGGTGAATTCAACGGAAACTTTGAGTTGCCACTTAAAAACTCAATGATAATTATCGATACGTTAGTTTTATCTCGACGAGTACTAATTAAAAAACCTTTTTTTTTGTTTTTATTATATCAATTAAATTATTTTATAAAAACTACCTTCATATGTACAGATATTTTACGTAACCATACGTACCAGCACGTGTCTAAAATATTATTCCATACATCATAAATATGTATCAATCTGTTTAAATCAATCAATCAATTATATATTAAAATTGTAATTATAATTATAATAATTATAATTTACGTGATGAATACTCATAGACAGAGAAGTATTTTTTTATTCTATTAGGTACATGAGTAGGTTATGAATGATATCTGTACATTTCTTTTATAATTAATTTAATCTCTAATCCATAAGACTTTAGTCTTGTCTTGGTTAATTAAAGAGAAAACATATACGATAAATGTAGGAGGTAATGGGACACAATTCTTTTGAAACTTTACCTCTGCCGCGTTTTCTTCTAACTTATTCTTTTTAACACACCCTAGAAGGGCTTACGCTCTATCTGCGATGGTTGGAACATAATTATGTCAGTTGTTGAAGTCTGGTGAAAACAATCGTACCTAAATTAAAACGTTACGTCAGCCTCAGGTAAGAATTTTTTGATGAAGGTAAACCTTGTTTGTAATGCTGGAATGAAATTATTATTACTAAAAAATTTTAGTGCCACAAAAACATACAAACCTTTCAATGAAATCAAAGACAAAATAAATCAAAACAACTTTAAGATGCGGTATACACGACTAAGGGTTTTATCAAAACCGACGGATTATGCAAACGGAAATATTTTGATTCAGTTGCGTGAGCATCGCGTGTCGGCACTCCGTTTTACCGGAATAATTGAACGAAGCACAAAGGTCGTTGTCAGTCTCCTAATCCCATAAGGTTGGAGCAACGAGCCGAGCCTTCCCCGGCTAATACTCTTGATGGATGCCGAGCATACCCCGCTCATGTAAGCTTGCATCATCGACGCACGACCATTATTGTGTGAGTATTCGACGGTAGCACGGTTATCGTGAACGATAAAGGTGAAACATAAATTCAGCTTACAAAATTATATACTACTAGCTGACCCGGCAGACTTCTGAGTGCCTCAATCGATAAATAAAAGACCTAAGCTTTTGTAAAAAATAAACTTAAAACAAACAAAAGGAATCCGAATTCGTCCGACGGGGGACACATCAAAGAAAAAACAAAATTGTTATTTTTATTTAATTCCGAGCATTTTCATATTTATCTACCTTTAAACCTTCTCTGAACTTCCACAAATAATTCAAGACCAAAAAATTTGCCAAATCGGTCCAGCCGTTCTCGAGTTTTAGCGAGACTAATAAACAGCAATTCGTTTTTGTATATACCTATGTAATGAATGATTGAATGTCAATCTGTCATATGACAATTGATAGTTGTTTAAATAATTTTTCGGTTAATGGACGTTGTGAAATGTGTGTTAAAGAATTATTGAAGAAAGGGCATTAAATGTTGTTTCTTGTTGTTTAGAAGAAACGCAATTTCGTCTTTTCTTATTTAAACACCGTAATTACCATTATAAAACAACATTTAATGCNCTGATCGCGCGTTTCTCTCATTATTGTATTTTCATATATTTGTTAGTCGTTTGTTTTGTGTCTCGTTAATTTGTTAATAATCTGTAGTGTATCGTGTTGTCGTAATATAGAACTATTTCTCGTATTGTTTCGTTTAATTTTTTATATCCAGTAAACTCCAGTCGTGCGTCGGAGCGGACACACACACTTTTTTATTATATTAGGACAAATATATTGTCAATTATAAAAAAAATCTTAATATTAAAGATTTCAGACAAGTAATAAATGATCAACGAAATGTTTAATATAGACGAGAAGATTTGCCGCTTATTCCATTTCTCTGTAACACATTTAATGAACAATGGAAACTCAACAATACCGCCTGTACAATATAGCTGCGCCGTTTCTTAAATCTTTCACAAAATAAATGTAAGCTGTTACTGTGGTGTCTTTTCGGGGAGAAAATAAAACTTTTTTCAGAAACGATTTATCTTTCTGCAAAAGTACCGGTATGGATGCGCGGATACAACACAATGTTATACGCTTTATTTTACGGAGTTATGAATTTGAGCATGGAATATTTTCTGCTCGTTTTAGTTGCAGTCTCGTGGGTAAATACAAATTGTCGAAGTTCATACGACCCCAACATAACCTTTCTCTCGTCGCGAAAACAACTTAACTTGTTTTTGTTACTTAGAATAAGCATGAATAGTCTCT